TCTACTTGAATGTCTAACTTTCTGACTCCAAAGAGAAAAATAAAAGTTGATACTAAGGTGGGTTCAACAGGTTGCTGGCAGCTTTGCAGCTTGAGCTGGGACAGTCATCTGGTTTGTGATCTCTACATATTATACCTACCGGTATGAAAACTGCTATGTGGCCAGTACTTGATTTTACTGCTCTGTTCAACTGTACTTATTTTTAGGATTTTTTTTCATAACAATCTATTAACTATGTCTTGAATTCTGTTATAAAAACCAATATTAATCTTAGATATTTCAAAAGTGATATCATATCCTGTCTCTTTTCTCAGGGCTAAACTCATTGCTACTCATAAAACTTAGTTTCCAGTTCCTAGATTCATGGTCCTCATTTAGTTTCTTTGAATCTTTCTTAAATAAGTTTCCCAGAACTGGACACAAATGTGCAGTTTATTTCAACAAACACAGAATATAGTAGAATGTTAATTCTTTTTAATACCAATAGGTAAAGCAATCACCTTAGAATTGATAGTTAAGATACTGAAGTGGTGAATAGCTTTTACTTTTTAGGATTGATAATCAACAGTAAAACTCAGTAATCAAGAAATATATCACAGACTAGTTTTGGATAAAACAGAAGAGAACCCTTGGAAAAGATATCTAGATGCTCTGATACATCTTAGAATTATGCAGGTAATGGTTTTCTATGTGACACTCTATGGAAATGAAAGTTGGACTTTGGAGAAGCAGATAGAAAGAGTTCTGATTAGCACTGATGAAGTTACCTAGTTTGGTTAATAAAAGTATTTATTGCTATTAGTACTGACTGTATGAAAAGGCACAGAGGATTTGTGGGTTAGTGTGATTCCTGGGATGCTATGTCTGCATCCCATGCATACAGCCAAGGACTGAAACAGCTTTATTGTAGAGTTATTAGGATTTTTTCTCCCACATTCCTAACCTGGTGCAAAGATGTCTTTATAATAATTTTAGTTCAACTCCAGTTCACAGTGGAAGCAACTTAAATTTGACTTTAGCTGGCCCATTTTATCTGATTCCTTCTTTTTGCTGTGGATAAGACGTGGGACATTTTGTCAA